AGAGGAAGGAAGGGCAGCTACCCTGCCTGAGTTTCTCTCTAAACTTTTAACTCACAGAAGACTTGCTTCAGTTGGGGAGAGATATGGCCTGTGGCTTAGCAGCTTTTTTTTTGTCAGATAACTGCTGCAGCTAGGGTAGGAGTTTCCAAGGGTGCATAGGACAAAAGGCAGCTCAAGCTCTGGAAGGGGAAGAAATAGGCTGACCTGTGTCACCAGCACAGTTAAGAGGGACAGCAGCTGGTCATCTTCCAGGAGACAAGGCATCCCTGTGTCAGAGCCAGGCTTCCATGCGGTGGACAGCACATCCTGATGACGGGGCTACAGAGCAAAATCCTCTAATGGAAGTGTCCAGGCAGTGGGGCCAGGTCCTCCAGGGGAAAGCTCCAGGGATTCAGGTGGTAGGGATTGAGGCCTAGGAGCCTCTACGCAGTGGAGCCTTGATCTAATGCTCTAGGCAGTAGAGCAGTCCAGGCCACCCTAAGAACTTTTAAGCAGAGATAACTAGTTAATGGACTAGAACAAATCCATGGCTGCTGACAACACAGTCACCTATGTTCTTTGATCTTCTGCAACAAGGGCTTCAAGTCCTTCTCACTTTCAACATACAAGCTTGTGTCATCAGCATAACACAGATTATTGATGAGTCTTCCTTCAATGCTGATGCCATATTCTTTTTCATAGAGTTCAGCCTCTCAAATAATTTGCTCTGCATACTGTTTGAATAGGTATGGAGAGAAAACACAATTCTGACTTTTTATCTTTTTTTTTTTTGCTTCTCTTTTTTTATTTTATAATTCAATCCATTTCCAGCCTCATTTCTATCACCAAACCCCATATTTTCAAACTATTATCCCTTCTTCACTGTATCCCACTTTGGCATTCCAGACATCAACTATCATTAATGCATCTTGACTACATGCTCACACAAATCTCAGACTATAAAATTTGGTAAAAATACTCAATTTTTTTTCCTCTTTGGCTCCAGATGTAGGAACATATATTTGAGTAATCGTTGTGTTCATGGATCTTCCTTGTATGCATACAGAAATTATTCTGTCACTGACAATATCATATTTCAGAATAGAATATTAATTTGACTTTTTGACTGTGATTGTAACATCATTCTTCTGTTTTTCATTCCCTATATAGTATACCATATGATATATCATATACATGCTGTTTTGCAAACAGAGCAGGGGACACTGCATGGTTTAAAACAAAGAAAGGAGTGTGTCAGGATTGTATTCTTTATCTGCACCTCTATTATTTGTATGCTGAGCAAATTATTCGAGAAGCTGGACTCTATGAAGAAGAATGTGGCATTAGGATTGGAGGAAGACTCATCAATAACGTGTGATATATGGGTAACACAACTTTGCTTTCTGAAAGTGTGGAGGACTTGAAATACTTGTTGCAGAATAACAAGGGATGCAGCCTTTGGGATTGATTGCATCTCAATGTCAAGAAAACAAAGATTTTTACCACTAGGTCAATC